AGCGAATTTTCATATATTGTATTATCCTACTATTGTTACACAATTTATTAACATACTCTTTTTTAGGTTCATTTATGTTCTTTTGATAACGATAGCCGAAAATAGCTATCGAAACGTCAAGGTAATTTTTCAAATTAATTTCTCTACTAATTGGAATTTTCTCTTACAGCTTGAGCCTAAGTGTGTTGCAGGATACCCTCTAGGTGATAGTTCTTGATTACTTTTTAATAAATAATTCGTTCTTATTGCGAAATAGGAGCACTATTTATCAATCTGTAATAAAGGACGTGAGGAAATTCTGTCTTTTTTTAAAGACAAAAATTTTTGAGGCGAAATACCCAAAAAGAAGTTTGTAATAAATTATTGTGTTAATCCCGGTGCCTAAAAATTTTTGTATCGTAACACAAATCAAAAAATCACTAATATCAAGAGTTCAATTTATTACAATAATTGTTTATGTGAGGCTGCAGCGCAAGGCTTTCTCAATTAACAGTTCCACGTATAGACAATGTGAACTATTACGAGATTTCTTAAGGCGATTAAATTCAATATTATTTAATATTTTGGAAACCGGTTGAATTAGGTAAAACTGGAGCAAAGCTAATCACTTATAAGACGAACCAAAATGTGCCACAATATGTCTCACTGAAAATACCCAACTTGTAGATAGTTGCCGAAAACAGGCACCGAAAATATTTTCAATCGTAGTCTATCCGATTACTTCGTAGTACGAATTTTCAGAAAGATCGTGTATCGCTTTCTCAGTAGACGTCTAATTGAACGTGAATCACCCTGAATTTTGTACAGTTTTATCCATATTTTCAAAGGTTTCAATGGTTTCCAGACGGTTTGCCTATAGGCTAAATATAATATGTCGTTAGAAAAGTTAAATTAAGCTATATTACTAATAATGACTAATATGGAAATGAAGAGAAAAGATTATATTTTACAACAAAGAACTAAATTTTAAATTATAAAATGCATACCTAATTTACTTTAACTTCTCTTTGGTTGCAAGGCAAGACAATTCTGGTGCTTTTGGAATAGCAAAAATGTACCTGTTATACATATATAAATACACATATATTTTATTTCTTCAAAATAAATTATTATTAGTATAACTAGTGGTATTTTTTGACTCTTTAAATCAAATAATGATCGATACGCCATTGCTTCGTACAAGTTCCGTGAATTTAGTGTAAAATTCACTGTTTTGTAGTTAAAAAATTGTAGAAGATTTATTTCATACCGTAATCGAGTTTGAATCAATCATATAAATTGATTTAATTACAAAAAAATGATTGCCATCTGCAGGCAACATCACGCTTACAGTCTCTTCATATGTAATTACAAAGCATATTATGTTATCTGTTAATTAAAATTCGTTTAACTAATTGACTAATATTGCGGAAATTAATCGGAATGTTTTAAAGAACTTTTACATGCTTTGGGACCTAACAGCAATCTATGTTTTGCGATAAAAAGTTTCTTGTAGCCACAGCCCATAGGCACTACTAGACGATTACTAAATACGCCATATATTTTTGAAAATATATATTTTTTCAATTTGTCAAAGACATTGTTTAACTAATTATTAGTTCTACATGAGAATGTTTTCCTAAAGCACTCGGAACAAATTGTCTTCGAAATATAATAAATTAAAAAATGTATACAAACATATTTTTTACACGGGAATTTGAGAAAATTCTATGTTACGAGTCAGCTAATTTTTTGTTGCATTTATAAATAGGTCGCTTACACATAAAGGAAACTAAAGCGTAAATAATAATTCACGGAATACAGTGGTATGCCTATATCGGAAGTTGCTATTTCTAAAGAGGTAATATTAGGTAAAATTTAAAATAAATTAGGTGACGCTTTCGATAAGCCCGGAAAAGCTTGCAACCGATATTTTAACCGACTTTAAAATATAACGATAAAAAAATGTTGGCAATTTTCAAAATGGTATTTCACCCAAGCGTTTGTTCACGCAGTGTATCTCAAAAAATATATCCGGATCTAGAGATTTTTTAAATTATTTACGTCAGTACGCCGTAAGGATCAATAGGAAAACATAAACACTAAAAATATTTGCACTATATCATATTACTGAATCAACAAGATAACTATTTTAAAATCAATGATGGCCTGCGGTTGATTGGCCATATTGAGATATCCATGCCTTGACAAACTCCTTCTTTCTTTGCTCTCTTCTGGCAAAATATTCCGGATATTGAGCTTTTTCAAGAGGATGCCAGTAGTCCACAACCCAGTCTGGAGGAATGACTTCTCTTTGATATGCAACACCACCAGGGGAATCAGGAACTGAAACGATATTTTGCCCTCTTATCGCAAAATTAATATTTTTGTGCCAGAAGCAAAATGTTATAGATTTTTTTCTCTGAGCTATAATGTTCAACTTATGCAGTTATTATGAGTTCATAACATCAAATTGCGTTAGAAATTTAGTATAAGGAACATATAAAATCAAATAAAAACTTTTTGTTCAATTTTGCTCTCAATCAAATTTTCTGATACAAACATGGATTCACGTAATCATAAGTAGTGACGATGGTGGCTCAAGCAAGCAGCTACAATAGTGATTTTTGCCAATCGTAGAAATTTATCAAAATATATTGAAACTGTTAATACAAAAAAAGCCTGGTAGTAGCTTACTGCGTTATTAAAAACTAGTCAGTTTACGAGTTCAAAAAAATGATCATGTCAATAGCTTGTTCTAGACCAGTTTATGCATGTCTGCAATTTGCATGCACTTCTTAACCTAAGGACACTTACACCTCCTTGGATGGTAATGTTGTTTGTCAATAAGTTGTTGTTCCCCCAGTTCAATAAAGTGATATGCTGTGATCATATCTTTGATATCTTTTTTATCATCGAACTCTTTCCTCATAAGAACTGCGCGATATCTAAACGCATCACTGAAATGTACAATTTAATGAGAAATTCCATTAGGGAGAACAAATTATCAATACATTAAAAATGTTCAAAAGCCAAATTATTGAGCACTAACATTATCTAAGACAGAGAAGGTTCAAATAGCACCATAACATTTCTGACCCACGAAAAATGTTATAGGACATCAAACTAACCCAGAATAAAAGTCCCAGGGGAAATGAAAGTTCTAATACACGAGCTAAATTTGTATATGGTCCAGAATATATTATCTGATACTTTTTGAAGGCAAATATATGCAACTTCAAAAATTAAGTGTTTGTGTCTTTTTATTTGAACGCGTATTGAAGATAATTGCAGCAGAGCCTTCCAGGGGTATTCGAAAGGATTGCACAACAACTAACACTTTAACAGGTACCAAATGAATACCGCGGAAGAGCTACATTCCTACCACGTATGTAGGATAAACAGAGCACAAGTACACATTAAACCAATCGCTTACTGAACACCGGTACAAATTGAGCAGGAGTTAATTAACCGAATACGAGAAGCAGCTCGAGAAGAGGGCACAATAAGGTGATTACACAGTCACTAACTTGTTTGGAGTTAAAGACAGAACTGTAGGTTTATTTGTATACACATCAATTCGAGTTTATTATGACAAAAAACAAAAAATTCTAATTGACAATTTCACATTTGGAAAAAAGTATATTTCCACATTTAATGAATTCTGTTGAATTTACTAATAATTAATACGATAATTATCCGTATCTATTTTATTGCCACTCTCTATTTTTCCAGGGCTACCATAGTTTTTAATATTTTTTTTAGGTGGAAAGTTTTTTTACATATTGTGAATTAGGCAAAATACCTTAAAAAACATTGTTGCCATCCTTCTGATATAGTTTTTTGCAAATTTCTCAGTTTTTAATAACAATTTTTTTTTCCTATTTTTTATGTACTACTAAAACAGCCCCAGACAACACGTCCAGAGGAATGACGCCAGTTTTGAATCACCCTGTATAATGGAAGTAAGTGATAAGACACTTCTTCAAAAATGCCAAAAAATATATTGAATACTTTTTGTAGTCTTGAATCCGTTTCACTTGTATAAGTTCATATAATACTGTATATATAAATAGGTACTCATAAGAACTGAGAGGCTACAGGATCATTATGTAACAGTATGTGTTGGTGCTACTCACCGTTCATCGTAATATGCTTCAAGCAGGCGAATAGCTTTTTTATACAAACTTTGTACCCTCCTGGTGTGACTGATGAGCCCGGTGGGCAAATTTACGGCCATAATTTTATTTCTATTTTGTTTATTATGTTATTACAATGAAGATGAACCGAGACGTCAGAAACCAGCTGGTAAAAGCAGGGATGCCACATAAAGTCTGGCCACAGATCACAGAGGTTTTGTGTTATTTGCGCCACACTCGCAGACGTTCCGTAGTGATCTGTGAGTGTGACGCAAATAAAGGTAATTATGATGAGGCGTGGTTTAAAAGAGGCATGATCTGAATAGTAGATACAAAATGCAATATGCGGCTGAAATAAATTTGGAAAAAAAGCTGAAATGAAAAGAAATGTATAATTTAATGATTCTGTATTTGATCGAACAATTTACAGAGCGATGCATAAAAAACAGGTGATTTGTAAACATTTCAAAAGTTTAATATGTAGGATTTTCTTTAAATGTTAAAATCAAGAATTTTTTTGGATTCATTTAATAGTTTAAAGAATAATAGAGTGTATTTAGGTTTTATTGTACTTTTTTCTTTTAATGTGAACACAAACTGAATTCTTGGGTAACTTTAGGAGACGCAATTTATTTTGTAACATGCTACAAATTTTTCAAAATTCGATTTAAGGTTGAGTAACCATACAGTCATAGTCATATGAAGTTTGATATATTTTAAAATTGGATTTGGTAATTATTAGTAATGCCGATTTGGACTGTTGTTAAATTCGTTTTCCGGCAATGGCCATAGTACGAGTTGCATCCACCAGAGGCTAACACGCAATAGAGCTTTCACAGTTGCGTGTCTAGTTCGTATAATCTGTGCTTTCCTCCGGGATTTGTGATCAATACACAGAACATCACCCTTTAGAACGGTAAGTATATAGCGCTAGGTTGATATGCTTACTGGAGGCGGGGCGCCACTAGGTGGCGCGATCTGTTGGATCTGTCCGAGTGAAGGGAACACTGCGGCACATAACAGATACAAAAATTCTTTGCGAACAGTAAATTAATTACTAGATTGACAAGAAATGGTTGTAGCTGATTTCTTGATAACGTATTTAATAGAATATTATCTTAAGTTCACTTTTATTACCAGGAAATATGTCCTAGGCTGATAACTGTAATCTGGCAGCTTTGGGCCTGATAAAATTTAGTGAATGCAATCATCAGGAATAAAATATCAGATAAATGACTCCCATTCTAATAGAGTTTCACGCCCGCCGCCGTCAAGGGCGCTAAACGTATATTTAAAAACTGTCAATGCAGTTTCAATTCTAAACGGGGATGTTCTGTAGATCAATATAATATTGGCAACATTGCTGGGCGGTCAGCTATCTAATCCGACTAATTTATTTGGGTAGTTTGGGGTTCATTTCTTTAGAACACAGTGCTAAAAGAGTTATAAACTTGCCTTTTATTTGATTGGATTAGTAAATCTTGTTGAATCTGTATTGTGTTAGTGTTTTGAAACAGCTAAAGATGAGTGATAAGAAAGGTAAGTTGTTTTACTAGTAAAGTTAAAAGTACATTGAGAAAGGAATCTCCCGATTTCCATTTTACTTGTAATTCGATGGAAGTGCAAATTTCCATCTGGAACAGTTCTTCGTCTTGGTCATGAGGCTGTGAGCTAAGTAAGGGCTCTAAAAGAAGGAAAAGAGCTATAAATTGCATAAGAATAATATGCAGGATGTTTTAATCAATACATGATTATAGGGTTATCTCTCTCTCGACCAGGTAACCCAGATGTTCTGACTCATTTTACATAGCCTTGTCCTGCATTGCAAAACTAGAACTACTGCATTATAGTAACAGGGACTTTATTAATGTTCTTATTTAGGGCCAGATTATCACGTGTTACTTGCAGTGGCTGGTTTTTATGCAAGACTAGAGGAGGACCTTCAGACTAGCCAATCCAGGATTCTGCCATCGAAAAAACAGTACTTATTTATTTTCATGTGTTTAATACAGTGGCTGATGCTTGTTGGTTATACCCGCTCAACGATTTACCTTCACTAGATTTTTGGTTGGAAATTTATTACTGTCCTATATTTTGCCTATTTCCAATTTGCGCAATGACTTCTCAAAAATATTCAAATGTGGCTTTTCTTACAGAACTTTTCTTCATAAACTGACAGCTGACACGCGACCTATACATATACGCATGCATGATCAGCAAATTTATAATTACATCTTATTATTGAAGAAAAAAGGAATATTGAAAATACTTCATTCACTTACAAATCATATACCTACGTAAAACAACGAAGTTAAGCCATTTTATTTTATTAAGCGTTTAAAATACTGTATGGTTAATCTTTCCTAATTGATGTTATTATTTTGGCGTAAAACAGCAATTTTCAATGCAAAAAAGCCTACACTCAACCTGGAGCATCGATGTTGAAGGCAGAACAGTAAAAATGAATAACGCCGGCAAAAAAACTGAGATATTCGCAAAAAACTGAATTATAGATTTGGCAACAATGCATTTCATTGATGTTTTCTACATTAGCGTACTAACATGCCTGTTTTATACGCGAATTCAAAGTTTCAATCGCCCATTGGCGCCTAAGTTATAAACTACACTTAACGAGTAACATTTGACATTTGAAATGGATTGGCGAATACCTAAAGGCACCCGCAGACGGGCGACTTTTGTAGCGCGACAGTTTTGACGCTGAAAAACTCATTATTTTAAATAAAGTCACGCACACGAGCGACTTTTTGTAGCCGTGACTAGCGTCTGAGGGCGATAATCACCGATGAAGGAACTTCCATTCTCAGGGTCAGACGCTGCGTCTAAAAGTCGCTAGCGCTTTTCATCCTGTATCGAATTCCCAGGACTGAACGGAATCAAGCAGACAAAGTTGGGAACTTGCACAAAAATTGAATTTGAAAAATATTACTCGCAAACGTAACTTAATACTATTAAAAACACCACAGTTTGCCAAAAAACCCCATTTTTTAGTTCTTTGTTATTAAATGAAATCATCATTGTAACGCGCCGTCATTGCGGGGACCAGTTGTGACGTCAAGTAGCTAGTCGGCAGTAGCGGCTGCAATGCGGAGCATGTAAACATGTAACGTCAGTCTTGATATTGTCGTTGAAACATTTCTATAGTGTATTAGGAGAAAAAGAAAATATTTCAAAATGACTAATGCGGCAACATTGATGTTTACCCGATCAGCGTCTATAAAACAAGTACGGAAACCAGTCACAGAGAAATTACTTGGATTTAAGGAACATTTTATGCAGTAAACTGATCATACCCGAATTTTTACGTTTATATAAATACATGCCAACAATTATATAAATACATGTCTGCATATCAATGTGTCCTCATTTCATGATTGTTATCGTAGAACTGCTCGCCTTCACTTCACATCAGTTTACAGTGTTTACAAGATTAGTTGAATCTCATGTTACAGTTTGATGTTAAGGAAAAGTGTTGTTGACGATAAAACAGAACAGAGCGGTAGGCTCTTCTTCTTCAAACTTCAACCAAAAAGTGTTAAGAACTTTGTGTGAACAAGTATTAGACATAATTGCAGCAGAGCGTTCCAGGAGCACTCAGAGCATTGCACAACAACTGACACTTTCTCAGGCACCAAATAAATACCGAGGAAGGGCTACATTCCTACCACCTATCTAAGATAAACATGGCACAAGGACACGTTAAACCAATCGCTTACTGAACACCGGGACAAATTGAGCAGGAGTTAATTAACCGAATACGAGAAGCTGCTCGAGAAGAGGCGATAATAATGTGATTACACAGTCACTAACTTGTTTGGAGTTAAAAACTCAAATGTATGTTTATTTGTAATTTGCAAACAAAACAATAATTCGAGTTTATGAGGACAATAATAGACATTTCGAAAAAGTACGTTCCGTCATTCAACGATTCCTGTTGAATGTACCGTTTTATTCTTGTCTATTTTATTGTCATTACCGAAGTTTTTAATAATTACGAAGCAACAAGTATTTACGTAATGTTAATTAGGCAGATTTCCTTGAAAAACATTGCCGTCTTTATAATATAGTTTTTTTGCAAATTTCTCAGTTTTTAATAACAATTAATTTTTTTACAATTTTTTCTGTACTCCTAAAACACCGCCAAATAACACCTCCCTAGGATAGCCCCAGCTTTGAATCACCTTGTATATTTCTTGTGCCAGTGACTACAGATTATCATTTTTACAGAGGCATCGTAATATACTCACATACAAAACACCCAAAAACTGATTAGACATTTTTTCTGCAATACTATTTGCGCCTCGCGTTAATATTGATAGTTGAGATGATATATTGAAAAGTCTTGAAAATAAACTGTAGCATGAATGTTTTCGGGATTTCTTAAAATCGAATAGGTTCACCATCATTTTCAAAAGTTCCGAACACTAGCAGGTTGAAGAAAAGCCCTGTAAGAAATAAGAGCCAAGCTGTAGGCAGATATAGGACATGTAAAAATTACATTCTTATTGTAGCTGAAGATGTATAAAATCTCTCAATGGTCCAAAATTAGACGTTTTGTGGTCTATTTATTATTATTCACTGCATGATAATAATCAAAAAATATGTAACTGTGTCCTGTTGTGCAAATTAAATAATAAGTGTTGCGTTTTGTATTTAATAATCGTTCAAATTATTTCAATTATGGAGTAGGACATTCACGGTGATTGAACTTATCTCGGGAGCAAATGTTTATGATACCTCAAACTTGAGAAACGATTGCTAAGATATTTAAGAAAATGAGCAAAGTCTTTAAAGCTGAAGGTAATTGTACCTGTTACAAAAGTATAATAAATATATAACTAAAGTAGCGTTTTTGTGCTTATTCGTATATATTTCGATATATTTTTCGAGATAACAGTTAAACTTCTCAATACGTACCAGGATTCTTTCATTCATTTATAAGGAAACTGAGGAATTTCGTCGTCGCGCCGTTATATACATTTGTCGATATTTTGTATATTTACAGCCACTCTATCATGCACATTGGCTTATATGTTTATACCTTTGTTTTATTTTATTGTACGTGAGAATGTCGGTTCAGTACCGTAATTGTAGCGTCCTGAGGTATGTTGGTATGTGAGGTTGTATATAACGACTTTTGAACAAATGTTCAGGTTTAATTTGAAGAAATGCGTCTTTATCATTGCATACGACTCGACAATAGAATTTTAAATCACGTTTGATCTTCCAACTACTATCAGCTCAAAGATGTTTGTTCTCGAGATTCGTGCGGAATGTCTGATTAATGGTATCAACCCTAAATTTATAAACTGGTTTTATTGCTGTTTTTTTTTTAGTTTTATTTAAAGTTCAATTAAACTTAATGTACTAACCGTTCACATTTATTACTTTATTATATTTAAGCGGTGAAAATCACATTAAATCGAGAAATAAAATAGATTAAGTTCGATTATAATTGGAATAGTTACATATTTTTTGTAGTGTGTGGGTGTAGGGTGTCTTCAGTGGGTTCCACCCAGTGTTTGCTACAAACATGTTGGCTATTCCGCTCTAGCACATGTACGTCGCTATTTTTTTCGATCGTTTAATAATACTCGCAATACGTCATTGTAAAATGCAAAATACACATTAATGAGACCTATTATTTATTGAATATCTTATAGTTAACTTATACAAAGTGTTTTACATTATTTGAACATGGTCAAATGATAATTGCAAAGAAACATTCTAAACTGCTTCGTTATCAGTATACAGAAGATTGCTAAGAATGGGAAAGACAAAGCTTAAAGAATCCACCAGTCAAATGGAGTTGGCAAACAATATCCGAAAGTTGATGGTTTTGGAAGCACGGGGTTTTCAAAGTTGAATATGTTTTTTTGCAATTCTGGATATATCTGTGTTAGGAACGCGAAATTTTAGTTTAAAATTTACCACAACAAATTTTACTCTAAAATTTTCACGTTGCTTGTCTGGATATTTTCTGATTATAGGCAAAAAAGCAAATTAAGATTTTCACTCCAAGACTATATTTTCGCCACTATCCATTTTCGGATAGTGTGTTACCTTCAGCTTCCGGATTTCCCTTCTTAAGATTAAAATTTTTTAAAACCCAAGATAAAGTTATAATTTGTGGGCAATTTCTTAGTATATTCTTCGGTTTCCGATCGCCTATTGCTATGTGCGTATGAATAGCCGAATTGGTTACACACAATTTGATACGAAATTAATATAATTTAATTTTACTCTTATCTACGCCACCTTTAAGGCCAAACTAACGCAATCTGAAATAAGAAAAAATTATGAGTATATTAATTCAAATAAATAAAATGGAATTTTAAAACGGATAAAGTTGTAGAATTTTGAAAAATGTGAATTTGGTATTTTACAATTCAATAAACACTTTCATATAGAATATATCTTTTTCTGTGTTTTACATGGGTGCTATCTATCAAATGAACTATACTTGTGATCATGGATATCATAATACCTCATCACTTTTATTTTAGGTTTCAGATGTTTAGTTCATTTGGTAAATTTTCAGCTTATGATATCCGCAACAGGTCTAAAGGATTTTCGTCTTTACAATATTTGATGAAAATATTTGTAATATGTGAATAACCTAGTTTAAGCCAATCTTCACTAGATTTTAGTTATCTATTTCACATTTCTGGAGTTTGTAACAAGAATTTTCAAAATTTTGGGAGGTAAAAACTTTTGCCTTTTAGTCCTTTAATGACTGATAAAATAAAAATACATTCTGCAATAAATATCAGTTTCGTTAACTCTTCGACATTTGTATTCATTATTTACAGTATTTTTTTCATGGGAAATTATTTTAGTATATCAAGATATTCGAATAAAGCAATACAGGTCCTTAACCTAAACCCTTTGTCTAAAAATTACAATACTTTTAACTGAACACCAGAAATGTTATAATAAATTTGCATGCTGTAGATTTAGTGTATAGATAGTCGGCATTTTTATTTATTTTATTTGATTCACTAACATAAAGAGGTTAAGCTGATTCTGGTGCATTCAAAAAGTATATTGATTTAAAATAGCAAAGAAGTTGTCCCACGCGGCATTCAGATTTCAGGTTACCCTTTTTGAAGAAACTTCCGTTTCATTGTGTTATATTTGCTTTTTACTAATTAGTTTTGTTAAATAGCATTTTTTTAGACTTAATTTTGTATTAATTGCATGACATAAGTTTTTAACCATGTATGCCTTGTTTAAGACAACAATAGTTATTTACTTTCGAGGAAAAGTTTCATCATACAGATGTATACATGAAACTGTTAAAAACTTAGCTAATTCAATTTATCTTGATTTTATGCATGATTTTGACTTATTTTTTCTACAATGTATATTTTGGCACTAACTCAATGTGCTAAAATGTACATATTCTTGTTTTTATTTTGCATGATTCTGAACACGTGGTTTACTATTGCGTTTCTTAGATAAATATATTAATAGTGAATATTGAAAAAATAATTAATTATTTCAGTTTCTCAACGCAAAACTAAACTTCTTGCATGAGTAAGTTAAGGATAAATATGAGAATAATTGAAATACTAAATAAATTTTAGATATCATACATACTACTCGCGTCGAATAATGTTAAGATTTGCTCTTCTTTTTTGTTTTCTACTCAATAAGTCCATGTTATTATAAGACTTTTTTTCATTTTAATGATCCTGAAAAGTAGTTTTTATTTATTGTTTGTAGATATTTTCGTTTTATTTTTCAATTTGAAGAGTTGGATAGGTTTAAAATATACTGAATAGTAGGCGACCGCAACAGTCATAATACATCGTTTTACGGAAACGTTTATACATATTTTCAATTTACATCAATTTCACCGCAATGCCATATGTTAGCTTCACTCTAATCTTCTACAAACTAAATAATATATTCTATGCTCTTTTGGTTCTAATGAATTGAAGTTCAAAGTTTCAACATTTATTTTTTGATCTATTTTTCACAGTTAGAGATTAAACCAACTTAAGTTTGTACAATGCGTATTGGTAAAGTGATATTTGGCATTGAATTAATTGAGGTATTAACCCTAACATATAACAAGCAAATGTTTTCGGGCTTAGATGCCTTTGTCGATTGGTATTTATATCTAGGTAGAAAACACCTTAAGATTTAGCAATCGGCCTCGGTTTTTCAACCCGATAACATCTAATTTACATCAACTGATCGGGAAAGGATAGGTTTCTTGAATATCATCTATCAAATCGTTCAAGGGTCTGCATAGAAGCAAAATTTGAGGTCTTTCAAGTACTGCTTAGTTTATTTATATTCATTTAGTGGTTAAACTTGCAAAGTCAATCTTCACAAACTAGACGATTTGTCGCGATGTTCAACCTTTTAGACAATTTGTATGTAAATGGATTGAAATTCAATTTACAGCAATCGGTGGTGCAGTACCACCTCCATCATCTGCCCCATCTTTTACTCCCCAACCTCCGCCACAGGCTAATCCGGCAGTTCCTACGCCTCAGCCTTATGGAGGTGAGTATTTACTTACTATCAACAATGAGTAAGAGGCAGTGCGTATTGTGGTAGATGAACTCCGGCTTTGGTTCGATAATTATTGGAGAAAAACTGGTTATGCTTAGTAAATACTTGATATGCATCTCAACATGAAATGGGAAGAAAGAGTAAAAATTTAATTTTCAAGTGCTCCATATACATGTCGTGTCTATTAGTTTGGAATATTATTCTCTCAAGTCTTCCAATGATTGTTCGTCAAGTTCTTATTACACACCATATTAGCTTTCGAAAATCTACCTTCAGCTGTGCAGTTAAGCAGTATTTTACTGGCCATTTAGCAAACGAATTCTAGCTACTTTTCATCAAACACAACAGCGGCATCATGTCAGCTTTATTTGTGGTTAGATTTAAAATTGTGCTCTTCAAACCTTTAAATGTCCAACGTGTACGAAATACTTGCGTTATTTGGGGAGACTCAATCGCTCAACGATGCGTTGTTTAACACAAGCAAATTGACTCGTCTGTATGCAACTGAACGGCCGATTTTTGAAGTCATACTGAAGCCCTACGCGACATAAACAAGCACTAAAACCAATCGTGGAAGACTATTTAAGGGTTTTGTGCAGATTTTCTTTGATTTTGATCCGCAGCAAGTTATAGTTTGCAGAAGGGATGCATCTGCTGTTCTATCAACGTTTTCCACCAGAAAAACTTTCCTTGAATCTCAAGCTGTAATATGAGATCCAAACGATGTGATAACCAATAAAAACTGACGTTGTGAAGTGAATTTGAGAAGTTCTGTGATAAAACTTGAATGTGAGAAAGTAAGGAATTTATAGGTCCATCAGTATAAAATAATCCCCAGTTCCAAACACAAGATGTTAGAAAATTCTACCCCTAAATCTAATCTAATGCGGATTATGATTATATGTTATATTAAACCTCGGTAATTATTGTAATTTCTTTATTAGTGCATAACTTAATTGCCACATATTATGGACTATCCACAAACGCTGCAAAAGCACAACGCTATAAGTAAGTTCAACTAAGCTTTGTATAAATATAAAGATGAGAGTGTACTTCTGTTTTAAAAAGTAACTAAATTAATTAAAATATATGGCAGATAAATTTTGTTTCCATTTCGTCGGATTCCATGTTTTCGATTACTAATTAGTTTCCTCATGCTGATATTTTGATGGAATTTTTTGTCTTTCCATAATTTGACTTAAAAATATGTTTGCTGCCTAACTCATTATGCTTCAGTTATTGGAATTATTTTCAGTTATGGCTGGAATGCCCGGTTCACCCTACGTTATCCCAGGCCAAACACAGATCTATCCTCAAGGGCCACCCCCTACGTATGATCAGACTCTGACGCATCCAGCAATTGTGGGGCAACATGTAAGTGTTAGGCATAATCATTAACCTCATCGCCCTTTTTCATTGTTTCTAGAATCCCTGTGCTAATTTTATTAGTGTGTCAAAGTGTTCATGTTCTTTGATGATTTATGAAAAACGTTTCATATCGCGGGTATAACCGAAAAAGTTTTTATTTCTGATATGTTTTTTTCGTCCTTACTTCTTCTTGCAAAGTTAAGGTTCTGACATATTCAATGGCATTAGCAATCCTGTTTTTAACGTTAAAAAATAGTATGAATCGTCACGTACATATGCACAAAATTCTCTAGTTTGTTCGGAAACAAAGTTTTGTTTAATTTGAACAGTATGTTTGTCTGAATAGTTATTGGCACTTTATACAAAATTTATGCATATTGATGGTTATTTTTTGGTTCAGATGTATCCGCCAGGTACTATGTATGCAACTGGATATCCTACGTACTTAGGTTACCCAACATATGCACCCATGCAATATTACCCATCATTGGGTGCATATTCATATGCCATGCAACCTACGGCACAGTTGAGACCCACAATTATGATCCAAGTAAGTTTACAATAGTGGCCTCTTTTGAGGGTTTTTTGTGGCTTTCGACGCAAGTCAAATACTATTCAATATTAAACTTTGACTCATGAGACAATATGTAAGTTAAATAAACATCTGATTATATTTTATGGCAATATTACACCTTTATGCCCCAAATTATATTTAAGCTATAATGGCATACAACTTCCTTTTCTTATTCTCCTAAATGCCATGACTTTACCATGATTTAGATGAGTTTTATTTCAGTTCAAAGTTTTATCCCTCTAAATACATCCTTTAGATAAACATGTGAATATCGTTTTTGGAATGATATAAATTTTTTTTGTGAGATCCGTATGCGACTTTTGAACGATGTTCCGCTGTCTCCATTAACTATGTTAAAAGTACAGACAACTACATGTTTAGAATCCAATTATTATGCGTAAATGTAAACTCGCAAGTCACTATTCCAGTGTTTTAAATAGTAACATGATTTAAACATTATCGACAGTATGGTGTACGTATATTTTTAGCGTTTGCGTTTTAAACAAAGTGATCAGTTTATATATTCGTAAAGGAGTCAACGTTGCTTCTAAACATAGTGACAGTAACAAATAATGTACTTTTCGCGGATTTTAAATCAAGAAATACTTTCTGAACAGCATTAATAGAAACATAAAGGAGATAAAGAGAAAATAAAACGGGGGACGTTAAAGCGACGTCTAAGTAGCCCATTAGGTAAGCACAGTAGTTATAAGCTATGAATCTGAACTATTGTTAAACTGCTACTCATTTTCGTGTATGAAAAAATCTGATAAAATTTACCCTTTAACTTCTTTAACATTTCTATTCCAAAAGAACTGGACAGTTTTACCTCTAGACCCAAATAGAATCCCCACCTGTTTCAGAATGGCTACGATGCGGGTGCGCGTTTCGACGGCATACCGCAGCAAATGATTCCTCAACCACCACCCGGAGTTCCTCCATCTGCTGCTCAACTGGCTGCGATGGCAGGCCACCAAGTGGCACTCGGCCAAAAGAAAAATACATTTCTTGCTGGAGGTTCGGAAGGCGGGTACACGTTTTGGTAGTCAAGTAATAACTTAAATTTAGATCATTTTAAGATCAAAGGTAACGTAATGACTTTTGTTCATTAGTTGACTCTTACCAATTAAACGGAGTATCTGGTACCAACCGGGGTGTCTCTTGAATGCAAATTTTTTTTCGGTCCTCACTTTTATTGTTTTTCCTTTATGTCTGACATTCATTTTTAAACTTGCTTGTCTTAAACAGAAACGTACTTTCTATATTACGTTTGGTACATATGATTAGTGCTGTGAATTAATAATTTCATTGTTTTCTATCGAATGAAAAGCATCTTTAGTATTACACAGGAACGAACAATCTGCAGGATAAAAACTTACAATTGATAGATGTGGACCATCTTTTTTAACAAATTTCACGAATGTTGTCACGTTTGAATAAGACTTATGCAACAGCAAAAAAATCGAAATTAAACAACCATTTTTTAAATATTATTGTTTTCCTAAAACATCCGTTTGTTGGGAAATTAACTCGAATATTGTTGTTAAGTGCGCCTTCCTGTAGCGTAAATTATTATGAACATTTGAACTTAACGACTTAATTTTTTTAAACTGTTCTTTGATTTTTGATCGATATTTATCGTTGATTTACATTTGCATTATATTAAAATTTCAAAGCATCAAGATTTCTTTAACCATCATCAAATACATTGTCGATATTTTTATTGGCGTTAATATGATTTTTACAGTACTGTCTGTTTCTTTTTTCCAATCGTGCATATATTAAAATACGAGGAGAGCAGTCGAGACATAAATCGAATTATTTAAATTTCAAACTTTCCATATAGGTACGTATGTCGAATGCCAAATGTGTTCAATGCTCAACATTTAGAATAAATAGTCATAAATTAAACATTTAAAAGTATCAGGTGTTTGAAACATTAATTCTAGTGAATTTATATAAATGCAGATAAGTGTATTTGATGATCGTTGAAAAACTCGAAACGGCGTAAAATCAAATAACAGTATATTATTTCCGTGGACTAGTTTTAAATGACCGAAACGCTGCAAAATAAATCAATTTAATAGAAATATAGTATCAATAAATGAATTTACCTAAATGTTCTCAAGTCTGCAACCAAATTAGCTTTGTTAAAATTGAAATGACTATATGTTGATATCCAAAATGCCCTATACTTTATGTGTTTATATATTCTATACAGAGTGTGAGCACTTTTTCGAAACATCATAAAGACCATTCAAATAACAAGACTTAAAACACAAATTTACAATCTGAACAATCAAAATATGTTTTGTGTTTTATGTTCAATGCCCTGTTGAATTCGCGATTTAAAAGTACGTTTTGTAAACTCGCATTGTTGATTTAATTATGCCAAATAAATTGTCTTCGAGGTATTTCATAATGTGTTGTACCAGTAATCAGCATGTTTTTACGTCTAGACTTTTACACAGAATGTCGAATGTTCGGACATCTAACATCAGCAAGCGATATTCAAACTGTTTGTGATATAATAATCATTATCTTTATTTAGGGAGTCAGAGACCTTCGAAGTTTCAAGTCAAATTTTAATTTACCTCTCAGTCCTACATTAACAAATCACTCTGTCAGTGATACTTCGGTTTAAATTTTTGATAATCAATTCTCTGAGTAAAATGAAAACCCTTTCTATTGTTTTCCTCGCTCTTTTTTCTTAATTAATTGATTTTTTGTGTATAACAGCATAGTTATTCGTTTAAAGGCAACATTAGACATGTTCTACCATAAGTATGCCATTTTCGAGAAAAATTGTGACCACCAGGTTCACTCCTGGATTATGTTGTATGCAAAATTACACAGAAAAACTTGAATGGTTTATGGAGAATTAATTAATTTGAAAGTTTATTAAGTGCCATATCGCGTAAAGTATTTTACAATCCTTAATTACATTCATTTTTTAACCTTTTTAAATTATTAAGTAAAAGCAGAATATTTATGTTAGTATGTTGTTTAATTCTGTTTTGATTGTTTATTTCGAAAATTTGTTGTGTTTGTGATTATAATTACGTAACGTTTACGTACAGAGTCAGAACAGAGTCCCTTCAAGACTCTTTTTTTCTTAAAAGTTGTTTTTTGCTTAAACATTGGGTACCAATCGAAAAGTGCTCTTACCAAACCACCAGGTCCAAGAATGGAAAGAAAAATAATGAAGAATTATTTAACAACGTATTTTAACTTTATATTTAAATAATTTTTTAGGACAGTCATCACAAAATAATAGGCTTTCATCGGACTCTGTTCTAACGTTATAAGTATTTAATGTYATATATGTCGATTAATTGTCATATTTTCAAATATCCAGCAAATTGAGTTAAATATGTCTAAAAGATATCGCCAACATATAGTAGTAGCCTAATCATCATCCAACTTAATACTTAATTAGTTGTTGGTTGTCTCAATATGGAATTGACATTTTATGCATTTTTTCACCTGGGTTGAACGAAAATCATGAATATTATAAGCTCATTGCATACTCGTCTTTTGAATCTCAATACATTTTTAGTTTAGTAATTATAAAGGTGCTGAAAGATCTAAAGCATTATAGTATTATCTGTTACTCGATTGGTGGATGTTAAAATCTTTTACCGTGCGAACTATTTGGCAATAACGTATTAACTTACTAGCAAATATGAGAGCAAATGACAGCCATTTTACATTGTGGTAATATTAAAATCAACCTGAACCTAATAGCAAAATAATATTGAATGGGTTGTCTACCAGAACTATGGACTAAGAAAAGAAAATTGCAGCAACTAATGGTTTCTTTACAACTTTGCTTTTAGATTTTAATTTATTAAAAAGCGAAAACTAAATATCTCATCAGGATGACAAATGACTGAGCGCTGCTACGTTTCTTTAATTATCAATTATCCGATACAGATGAACAAAGAAATTATAGTTTTTAGTGGCAGCTGCTCGCCTGGAGCTGTTATAAAGACGCGACATTTGCAGATGCTCAGTGGTCGCATTCTGATTAGACTTTTAGCTCCATGTATAGGATAAGTCAAATCTGTTTTGTTTATTAAAAATATAATACTATACAAACGTATAGTTCTGTATTTCGCTGCAAGCGACTCGATCTTTATATTTGTGGTTATTATTTATTATTTTTGGATTGTTGATTTATAGCGATTGTAGAGAAATAAAGCTGTTTTTGTTACGTGAATGGTACAAAAAGAACTAGAAAATGGCGTTGTTTTTTTGTAAATTAAAATTTTTTTTGGTACTTGTACCATTTTGTCTCACCTCCTAGGAGCTGTTTATCCTTGTCTGGTTCAGTTTTTAGAGATAGCGAGAACTTCATTCAATCCTGCAAATTTGGATGATATTTTCGGAGACTTTCTTTTCAGATGAAATAACAGTGACATTATGCGACTTCCGGTTATACCGGAAGTTGTTTCAAACTTCCTTATTTTAAATGGAACACCCTGTATAATGTTTTTGCTTGTGTTCCTTTCTTTATTTCCAATAACTAATGAACATTTTTCTACCCCACTCTATCCGTTTCTCAGCAAAATAGAATTTTTCTCAAAATTTTACCATTATCAGGGTGTCGCGTAAAATTGCAGATGTTTTCAAAGATGAAAGAGTTAAACTCAAAATCTCAGTTGCAAAATTAGATATTATTGTGCTCGATAATATCTTTATTCTCTATTCTCTATAATAAAAACATTCTGATTCATTCAATGTGTGGAATTTATATAAAATAAAATAAAACAAAATATGGGGAATTCTGGGAGACATTGGCAACATTACGAGAACCTGCCAAATTATTCACTTTTTGAATGTTTTTGACTTTTTATAGGTTTTTTATTTTGAACCGTTTTAGAAATTTTTCGTTGTTTTTTTCGAAAAACTACACTTGTCAAAAATACATTTTTCTGTCTTTTTTTTCTCAAAATGTGTTCTGAAAGGTCTTTGAAGGATTTTTGATGAAAAATTGATTTGTTTGTATTTCTCTTAATACTGGCCTCAGTTGAAAATTTAAAATTTAGCAAAACCAAGATAATACCAATGTTGGCATTATTAACAAAATTCCAGGGCATTTGAGGTCGAAAACTCCATTATTTCAAAAACATATTTCGGTAGGTATACTGGGTTGTAACGAGCACAATAATCTGTAAAACTAGCTTTTTAGGCAATTCAAATCGGTGAAGAAAGTTGAGATTTATTACGCTTTGAACATCGAGCAAAACACGTTTCTATTCTACACTTTAGCCAAATTTGAGATGGATTTAAGTGCCAAAGAAGCATTTTCAGGCACAAAAATCGCACATTTTTTAAACCAAATAAAACTGCGTTAGTGTTCCCTAAAAATTACGGTTGAGAAAACTAAACTTGGTAAGAAAATTGGAAAGTTATGAGGGTTTGAAGAGCGGATATTCAATTTTTAAGCCAAAAATATTTTGAATTCATTTGAAAAACATTCAGAATTGTTATACACAAACAAGTGAAATCACAATCATAGTTTTAAAAAAATTAAATTTACAGTTATAACAGTGATTTTAAAATCACGCTTGAGCACATCTCTAGTTTGTACTTTTGGTCTGGGTGTCTCTTTCCTTGTCTAAGTTATTTTCTAATAGTTTGATAATCTGTGGTTATTTTATTAGGTTAAGATATTTTCAATGTTTTTGGATGATACAAAACATTCTTCGTGTTTACAACAAATACTTTTAAGTAAAAGTATTTGTTGGTTTGCAACCACTATTTACTCTTATCAAGCCATATGCAAATCTAATTATTCCCTTCAAAATGTCAAACAATAGTTTTGATTTCTGCAAATTATGCTGTGCATCCAGAGGATTGATAAATATGTTCACTGGAAAATGCCGATCATTTCGAAACATTCTTCGAAAAATTATTAAGGAAACTCTCTGTATTGAAGTGAGTAAAAAATTATATATTTCTATTATTTACTACTAATTATATATAACACTTACTATGTTTTTGCAGGTTGAACTTGATGATGATTTTAAATCTATATGTATCAACTGTTTAATTGACGTCACAAACTTCTATTATTTTAAATTGAATTGTCATCAAACTCAAATTAAGTTAAAGGTAAGTAAAATAGTATTTTGATAGAATAATTGACGGTTATTCTTTTGGAAAGAATAGAAAGAAGGCTGTGTTGGTCTAAAATAATACATTGGAAAAATAAATTCAAAATTCAGTTAATACTAAATACCTAACTGAAAATAACTGACAAATTTCAGGTTGAAATTTTTATAGTGGGTTTATACAGAATTTAATTTTTGTATTAAATATTTCATCTTAGCTTTAAGTAAAATTTAGGTTTAAATATTCCAGGGTCTCAGGTTTGAAGTTAGGGTATAAATTATTGGTCCTACGTTATATTATTTTGAATTTATTTTTGCTCGAAAATATGAAACTCATGATGTAGACATGTTTACAACGCTTTACTAAAATTCGTATTAACCTACGAATTTAAAATATTTCTTTCTTTATTAATGATCTCTTAAAGTGCAAATATATTTAAGTTGTTTACCGTTAAGAAGTATTCTTCATTCTTATCAACCCAACGATTTTCTACCTTTTCCTTGACAAATTATACGAGACAAAGAGGCTGAACTGTTTAAAGTGCCGGATTCGACTAGCGAAAATACTCACTTCTTAAGCTTGCCTGATGGGCTATGTTTGGATAAATTTACTATTTCCAACATTAAAAAAGGCAGATAATTGGTATACGGTTAGTTTTGTCCGACGCACATGCGCTACATACGGAATGTATTTTGCATCAAAAAAAAATCTTGAGCATAAAAAACACCTCAAACATCGAGTTAGTTCAAGTGCGTCAATAAAAATAAAATATGTTAGAATAGCGTCACGACGAGACGAAGAAGTTAAACAGGTTTTAAGTATGTATGTATAATAAAAGACGAAACCACGTAAGAAGATTTTTTGAGTGATAGATTCGCTTGATGAATCAATAACAAAATTGGAAAACATTGGAGTAGGTACCAGTACGCTGATGCTTCTTGAATTGATTTGTGTAACCCAAATTTCTATATCTGGAGCGGATCTTTAGAGAAAAGCTTCAAGTGAGCTTGATGTAAAAATACAAAGCCGCCCAAAATATTTCTAAAGTTTAAAAATTAAGTACGAAAGAACCCATAGGTCAATCGATATCAAATCCACCCTACAGTCAGTTGAAGAATGCGACTAAAAGTCTACATGTATATGGCAATCAGGGGCAAAGTAATGCTAAGCTAACCGAAAGCGGCACGGCACCTCGAAAGAAAGAAGAAAATGGGTTTAGTACAGCAGGAAATCTGTCCAAAGCCAAACTTATTTCAAATCAGCAAAGCAGCTTGTCGGAAAGCTAAAATATTTATAGATTAGATATCATTCTTACCGGCTTTCCGCAAGCTGGCGCCCCGTCCTCCATTTTCTACTCATTAATCGTCAAAAAACTGAAGATGCCCTTGGAATGTGCTTCGGTTTTATCACATGGTCCTTTAGGTGAAATCATGTATGTGAATTATTGATGATTCGCCACTTTATCGACAACCGACGGCTCTGCTTTTTTTCACGCGACGTTCGTGATGACGTCCAAACGTACAAACAATGTAGGCGATTATGTTACGCTATGAGGTAGGATAGGTAACACCAAATTACCTAATTAGTGAAATCTGTTAAATATTTCTGATTCACAACGTGATTTGATAAGTTTACCTGATTTAACTATTAATGTAACTTGTGTTTCTTTATAGCACAACGGACCTATTATTTCTGTTGCCAAAAAACCAAGGATCGAAAAAACTCATCTGGATGAAATAGAGCTACCTGATATTGCAACAATTACAAACGTTCTGGATTGGCTAGCACTAAAGCAAAAGGATGATAAAAATTCACCGAAGTTTCTTGAGTACGAGAAAGCGAAAGTTAACTCGGTAGCATGTCAGACGGCTTCTATTGAATTGAGGAACCAATCATGTGAAACAACTTACATTAAACTGAAAAATCAGTCATGTCAAACGACGTCTATTAAAATGAGGGTTCAGTCATGTCAAGCAAATTTATATAGACCTGCTCAAACTATTTGCAAAACTGAAGATGTTTTAACCACCTCACGTCCTCAAAAGACAACTAAAGCTTTAATTAATAAAAGTGTGCAGTGTAGTTTGCGGTCTTTCAAAAGTGATCGACCCTCCGTCAAAAATAACTTGAACTTAAATAAAGGCTGTCAAACGGATTTAAGAACGATAAAACTGGAACCAAATCAGACACACTGTGACTTAAAAAAACCATTTTGGAAGAATGATGTTTTGAGCCCAGAAGCTGAATACTTGCAAAATCAAAAGTTGGGAACAGAGCCGTGTAGTGATAAAAATCAGTTATCCGAAAACTCTATGCAATCTGTTTCGAAGTCAATAACAAAGGCCTGTATTTCGCCGGCTACTTCTAACTTGCTGCAGGTGAAATCAAAAAAATCTATGAAAGTAACGATTTGCCAAATTTGTGATCAAAGTCTGTACAGTGCGCGTGAAGTAAATAAGCACAAGCAAACTCATATGTGGTGCCACATCTGTAATAAAAGATTTAAAACTACAAAACTTGCTCAAGGCCACATCTATTCATCTCATGTACGTAAACATCAAGATACCGAAAATCTGAACAAACGTAATTGGGCGGCTTATGTTGACCTTTTAAAAGTAGATGGTTGTCCTTCATTCAAAATTGAGTACCCTTTAGCGTATCAATATTTAAGTGATTTGAGTTTAAAAAAATAATCTTTTGTCCACTTATAGGCTCCACCAGTATTTATAATGCATGTTAAAAAGTATGCGTCGATGGAAGATCGGTTTGCTTTTAAGTTAAATTATCCATCAGACTTTTTGCAGGAATCAATACTTGTGAGCTAATTTCATTATATACAGTTTACTTCAAATAATGCGACTTTTCATGCTGTAGACCTTCCTGTTCCCAATTCCGTCGATTTGGTCTTTTGCACTGACACTCTCCACTATTTGTACCCTCCCACTATTTGTACGGCCTTTGGGGGTGTGAACCACCTTTCTCCTATAGGTTTTTCAGGCCTTTTTCGTTGCAAAGCAGACAGAAATTGGATAAAACCAGATTGCGAAGAAGCAGGCCGACCAGTCAGCACTCATCATCAGGAGATTGGCACTTGATGAGAGACACGTGAATAAAACGTGATTCTACTCTTAGTCCTGACCGAAGCTTCTAATTACGTTTTGCATAGAAAATGTGTGGAATTTGCCTTTGTTTACAACAATCCAAACATTGAAAAATATTAGAAGTAGTTAAAAGTCTCGATTTAGCTATTGAAAAATTTCAGGAATAGCTCAAAAAAATATCAATTTAGCCATTGGAAAATTTTAGCAGTAGACGAAAATCTTTCGGTTTGGATAATCCCAACTTTTGCCACTCAAATATCCTCCGCAAAAGGTTTTTTGAAGGTTGATGAATGAGTAGTCACATTTGGATCATCTCCATTTCTCCCAAAGATGTACATAGCTTTAGGATTCATTTAAACTTCTAACAGGAATGATTTGATAGAAACATAGGTATTTGTAAAACCATGGATATTTAAATAAAAAATTCAGTTTCTAGTTTCAAACATTGTGTTTCTGGTTCTGGCTACCTCCTTTATCAGTTTTACCAGTGCCACATTGATGGCACTAAAATGGTTATAAAAAGCTTTAAACTAATTCACCGTTCTAAACCAGCATGGGAAATCCTACTTCAGTAGGGGGACAATTTATCGACATCAACCAACTATGTTTATGTATTTTTTTATTAATTGTTAATATTTTTATATGGTTCAATTTCTGATATGGTTTTCCACAGAATTATCAAATTGAATTTACTGAAGAATTTTAATGAATTCGTTCGTTCGGATTCAAAGAAATCATTTTTGTTTAAAACTGAAACATTGAACAAGTGACTTACTTTATTTTTTTTAGTTAAGCTAATATTATTTCTTTGTAAAGTACCGAACAAAACGCAGTATTAATCCGGATTTTTATCTCAAATGACAAAACTATGACTAGATTTCGGACAATATTATTGTTGTGAGCATTGCAAATGCCTTTATATTTAACTCAAGAGAAATAGGACAAAAATGTAGGAATTTAGACATACTTGCTTTTTGCATTTATATTATAATGTAAAGAAAATTCCCATAAAAGTAACAAATAATATAATATACAAAAAGTAAATAATGAATCATTGATCGCTAGGGCCTATTTTAACACGATAAGAGTATTATCAATTTTATAATAATTTCTAATATGAATTGTACTCAATTGGGAGTAGTGTGTGTTTAGCCGTTGAAAATAGTCTGGCAAAATGGTAAGCTTTGTTTAACTAAATGAAAGACTTCAACATGGAGATATATTTCGCATAACAGTGACTTCTAGATGTTTTTACATTGTAACTTATTTTGTTTGTGTGAAAGAAGAATCACTATCTAGAAAGTAAAACTATATATTATTATCTGGAAAGTAAAAGAAACGATAAATCGTTATTTTAACTATTTTGTGCAGACGCGATGTAGAGACACCGGCATTGTAGAGATGATTATTCGGTAACAAAACGTAATATCAAAACGTATCGTTGCAATGGTGATTCAACAAAAATAATTATGTTACCATATTCTTAAGTCACAACATGTTAACTTTAAGGAAATCGGTATAATAAATAAATATAATCCATTCAACTTTTAGGAGCTTCAACAGAATCATAATCCATCACCTGTATTACACTTCCTTAAAGCATTCCTAATGAATATTATCGGATGGTGTGTTTTACTGCCAACCGTAGCTTTGTTCTCACTTTATAGAAAAGTAATTGATATTATTTTAAATATAAAACATGGAAAACTGTAATGAAGTACGGATGTGACCCAGACCGCGTATTAAAAGTGTTGAAATTTCCGGATAGTGGTAAATTTAATGAAGAATATCTCAAGAAAGCTACAGCTGAAATAGTATAAATTCAAATTGATCAAAATAATGCTGTTTTGTGGAACTTCTATATCAGCGACAAACCACTTGAGGATTCGAAATCGGTGAGGAATTTTGTTTGAAATATTTATGATATTTTTAATTAGCTCATTATTGCAATAAGAACATTTTGCAATGTTAAGTGTGTTTGAGCAATATAGGAAGTGATATAAAAAAGTTAAATATATTTTTGCGACATCTTGGCAAATGTATTTATAACTTGTACGCATCATCAACTATTTACATGTCAGAAACAATTTTTTATTTTGACAATAAATACAGGGCATTTGTATGAGGTGTCTACTTATGACCTAAATCATCAGAAACAGTAGATGAATGGTAGAAAAATCGTCAATAAAAAATACTAAGTCTTTACTGCACTGATCAATTTTGATCGCGACTATTAAAAAAAATTGCGATTAAATACACTTTTTCTCCTGCGCACTTTCTATAAACTAAAAAGTACGACAAATTGATATGCATCTCAATTTACATTGACGCAATAGACGCAGTATACAGTAAGAGTAGGTACGTTTTAAGTGCGAATGTGTGATCAACAATCAAATATCAATTAACACATGAAAATTATAATTTTGTTTGGTTGTAAACTAAGTACTAGATATTTATAATCACCATTCCTTGTTGGATTCGGCTGTCGAATTAACGTTTTGGGATTTTTTGTACATTCAACGTTTTTGAACTGGAAAAATATTATTAAATTAAATGCAAATCTTTATAAGAATACTCAGAATCGATTTTATTTTGGATATTATATTAAAATTTCATTACGTCCGCAGTAGGGTTCAAATCGATAAAACTTATTGATGGGGCGTTGCTAAATTACCTCTTAAATAATTCTTTAAAATGTGTGTGGATTATTAAGTAATGAGTCTTGAACGAAGCGTTGGGAAACTTTGAAAAGCCTATTTTAGTTTTCAGAAAATAATGAATTATGGAGCTTTTAGGGATAAAATATGGAGTAAATAACAGAACATGTCAACAAAAAATAACCCGAACAACCCGATTATACTGTTTCAAATAGGGCTCATATTGCTGAGGCCAACGAATTTCAAGTGAGAGAAACAGGAAATTTATTGCCAACCTCGAAACAATTATCAGTCAACTTTTTCATTCGAGAAGATAAAAATCATGTTAAAGCTGATTCAATAATCCAATATAAGTTTTCAATTGAGTTCTCAATTTAAATTCACTGCTTTAGATTTTTTTAAAGTATTGGGGCTTGAAAAGGCGGCCAATCAAAGCAATGTAGTTTGTCTGTAATCTCTTCTATGAGCTGTTTTTAGGTTTTGTGTCATTATTGGGTTAAATTTAAATTTTTCAGGATGGTTCTTATTGATATCCCATTATTGCTCGTTTTCATCACTCCATTGGAGATGCCACCTCCATTGTTGCATTGTTTATTCGACTATTTGGTAACCCAGCCCAAAACTACACTGAAGATCTGTTTAATAAAATCGTTAAACCCCCGATTATCGTTAAACCCCCGAATAAAATAATTAATCTTAATTTGGGTATAACTTCCAATTGGTCATTATTCTTCAAAAATGCCATTAAATTATTTTTTTTAGAAAGAATGGATGAAAAACCTACTTATATCCTTTGACGTGGTATTTCTCGGTCTTGGAAGAGTTATTTTAAAATCGCAACTACAAAGAAACGACGAAAATGCTTTACACGGTTCAAATTATTCGGGAAAGAAAATTACCGTTTGGGCCACTGAAAATGAATCAAACTGTTTGATGATGGTGAAGAGAATAAGAAAGAGAACTAGATCAAAATTTAATTGCGTAATAGGAACTGCAATAGCGGCTAGTATGACGGCTTACTTTAAAAGGGTCAGTTTTTCGCAGGAGCGTAAAGTAAAGTTTGTTAAAACTTTGTGATTGATAAAAATGATGCAATTATTTCTTGTTATTTAATACCACTAAATGTAATAATTCTTTTAAATATTGAGCAAATTCATTTTGCATTAATATAAGATAATCCTAGTTAATCATATGATTGTTAGCTTTCTATAAAATTTATTTGCTTTATAACAATACGCATTTGAATTTTTCCTTTCCGCAGATTAGAAGAAAAAAGTTATCGGTGTTTCTTGTGTCCATATCCACAACTTTGGGACCTAAATCGCTCTCGTTTTTGTGTCGGACATTTTACTATCTCAAATATCTTTCATTTCATGTTTATAAGAAGATCTCAAATAATTTCCGTTTTTTGTGTCTTTAGAAGCTTCTGCGTCCATACTTTCATGCATCTTCAATAACATCTGGTAAGCACCTTCCTTTCTGTTGTAATCATGGTATTCATTGCTCTTAAATTGGGATAGAAACATAAAGCGAAAGGGTTTTCTTTTTAATTTTTCATCCCGAAAATGAAGCGACTATGAAGTTAGAGACAAAAATGTTTGAAAACAAAACTAGGAGTTGCTTAATCCGGAAAACATAGAAAAGGTTAAAAGAATTGTCAGTGGCACACTATGGGGGTACACTAAGGGCAAAACTGGCCACTTACTGAGGTAAATGACACAGCCAAGTTTCAATCAAATCGTTAAAAATATTATTGAGTTATTTACGAAAAAACGTGTTTTGTTGTGGCACCCTGTTTATTAAGAAGCACCTTCTGAAGTTTAACTACGCACTCAAATCACACCCTGTATGTGATGATTTAAAATTTGCCTTAGTCCTCTCTGGGTGAGTATTCAGGGAGTATAAAAAAAGTAACAAAAAAATAAGCTTCTATCAAAACTGTGATATTTGGCAAACATTTTTCCATAAAATGAAGAACGATGTTGTAGATCGCAGCAGCAGAAAATGATGGCTCTTTTCTTTTCCTCTTACGTAAATACTGGTTGCTTCATGCATAAATCAACAAAGCTAACGTGAAGTTAAAGGGCAAATTTAAAAAAAATCTTCATCTTATATGTTTATTTTTTTAAGTTTATTTGGACGAAATATTAATACTCAACCACATAATAGCAGCCGACGAGGTAAAACTTAATACAAGTCTTCGTCAAATTTGTCATTTTATTGTAGAATTCTACATTATTGTTCAAAGTCTGACTACGGCCCACAAAGATACACATTCCGCAATCTGATTAATTTCTATTAGCTATCGATGTGTAGAAGTATTACTACAACTATTCCTGTATACTCAACTTGTATTAAATATCTTTTAATTAAGTATTTTGATTATCTAGTGTTATTAATTTTTCTCTCTTAGAATAACTTTCCTGTTCCAAACTTTACATCTGGAATGACTACATTATTGTTGAGCTTCCCAAAATTGGACCCAACTAAACCAGTTCCACTAGTGAATAAGACTGCAGGTCTAAGCGTACATTTACCATCTCATACGTCCATTATTTCCATTGATTCTTTTCGTGCGTCTGCAGCTTCAATGAATGCTGAATTAATATATTCCGATGCTGTAGTAAGTATATAACATTTATTTTATTTCAGATCTAATGAGCCAAGCCTGAGCCGTGGCAAATTAATTTAATGTTTTGACGAAGCAACGACAAACGATTAATTTTCTGTCGGTGTTCAAAGAATCAAAAGAATTTGCAGCGGCTCAGGCTCGGCTCGTCAGGTCTGGATGCACCACAGATTGCTCAGAAAAAATGTCTCGACCTAATTTCAAATGTAGGAATTCATTAAAAATCAAATAATCCACACGGTTACTTTAGATTTCCTACGGACTCCTGAAATACGTTTTGGGTTTTGTGCCAGTAAAATTAATTGGGATACGACTTGGGATACGATTGTCAAACATTCTTGCTTACCAATATAACTGGTGGCTCAAAAATTGAGTTGTTTGGTGGCTGTACTTTAGAAAGAGTGGTTCCTATTGCGCCTAATATGAAAGGAATTGGTAAGTTGACAGAGTTATTCATATACTTACTTAGTTTAATTATATTCATCTAAATTCACAACTGTTTTCCTTTGCAATAATTGATCGAATATAATTTTAAGAAAACATCAAATTGTGTTGAATTATTATCGAAGTTCYTACAATAAGTGGGCATATAAATGCTAAAATAAGACTTGACTTGATATGTTGAATAGGAACCCGAAGTTGTTTTGCAGATTCASGTTTTACGCAAAAAAACTACGTGACTTTTATTTCCAATTTTTTTTTTCAGATGGCGCAAATGATAAATTTTATTCACCAAGTTTTCAAGCATCTTATTCAGCGTAATTAGTTTTAGTTGGCAAAATTCCTTTTTTCGATAAATAAATAATAGGTACTTACATATTCTTAGAGTAGGCGATGAAAYAGGTCCACACGAAGAAGTACTTAAAATGTGWCRATKTACTTACAATGTATCGATACAATTATAAAATAATAGTACTAATAAAAATTYCTCCGAAAATCTGGAAATCAATAAAATTTACCCATTATTTCTTACCATCAAAAAAGCGCAAGTTGAATAAGACAACGCTTCACATTCATTTTTGATCCCATCCTTCAATATAAGAAGTTTAGATTGAGCCAAAACCATAAGGATTTAAAACGCAAGTTAATCCGTCCCAGAACCAGATAATAAATCAGAAAAATGTTGCGCTATRGAAGTATTATAATTTTTTATGTYTTCTTCGACTATCGTGTCCGTCTTATCTCAATGATKCCGATTTATTTTAAAACGCGATTTTTTCAGGTATTTCATTTGGAATTATTAGTTATGACARCAAACTGCAGATAGGCGTGACTGTTGACCAGACTTTAGTTGCAAATCAAGAAGAAGTACAACGGATTGCGRATGATTTTTTCCATAACATTCGACGTTTGGACTTTGCATTTTAAAACAAGAGCTAGAATTACTTTTCTTKMWARTTRWTWAAWMTTTAATACTTTTTGAAAATTATTTAAAGTTTTTATTATACATACCTACAGAAAATCCTGAAATGTGATTCAGTGCGTTAATCCATAGCACATTTTRTTAAATTACTAAATAAAATTAAATACCATGATTTATATGGWTTTTTGTTCCAGGACTTTTTAGAAAGTTCCCATTTGTCCTAGGTTGAAATTTGCCAAAAAAAAAAAACGTTGGGTGCAGGGTGCAAAAAYTATATGCAGGGCACTTGAAWAATCCTGAATCTTAAAAGCTGAASAACTATAGTTTATCTACAAATTGCAAATATTGATTCCAAAGCACAGCTCAAGGAATAAAAATAAATAAAAATGAATAAAAAGGATTTCGGACAATATTCACAATATTTCAGAAAGAAACGCGAAAAGCCAAGATTCCATTAGATAAAGGCCACAACCTAGCACATCGTCATCTTAAACACTGACTAAACCACATGAGCTAATTTTTGTAAAACGAGTGGTCGCAAAACAGAATCTTTTACTTTGTGTGGTAAAAATGTTAACAAACTTAAATAAAATGGTCTAAAATTAAAACCACTCAGATGCCATTGAAGAAAGATAAGACTTTTGCGTCTAATAAAAAGTTTGCATATTTCTTAGCTTGTTAGACCACTATGTTCGTCTGCTCTATTTATCCTTCCACTGCCTACAGTAAATTGGGTCACTTTCCGAAGTCATTATATGAAATGAAAGCAGTCAGAAGGTTTTCCGATATTATCTATATTTTAATTACATATTTTGTATCACTAAGATTAGGAAGAAGAATTGCGCTGTACATGGGAGCACATGAAATTTATAGAAACAAAAATTATCACTTGTTTGAAGCAGTTAACGATTGTTAATTGAGGCAATTTCGTATCGAGATCCTTTATATTAGTCACGAAAACTACAATTAAGCCAGCTTTCACACAGTTTCTATCAGGGCGAATCCTGTACTAAAATTCATCTTTTCACCTACGACAAGTTTTTAATTAAAAGAAAATTATACCATTAGTTATGACATGGAGCGCAGTACAGCCTAATAAATTGTTAGTCTGTAGTAAATTGATAATGCGAATTAAGCATAAACAACAACTCAACAACAACTAAAGAACATTTAAGTCGTCAAAATATTGATAATAAATCATTTTTATTATCAAGTATTGAGATGTCAATAATATTATAACTTATATTACAAGCATGTCTCACGGTCAGCGTCCATTAGAATATTTCGGGAAGTAATGCGATTTGAACCCCGCAAATTTGGATAATAGGATTTTCGACGAGCCGAATCTTTTCAGATGCTCATTTCGAATGAAATAACACCGACATTATGCGACTTCCCGTTATACCAGAAGTTGTCTCGAACCTACTTATTTTAAATGAAACACCATTTGGGTGTGCTTTAGTGTGTTAGATTTAATTTTTTAAGTATGCAAGGGCAATTGACTTGAGCAATCAGGTTTAGTATGGATTTTTCTGAAACTTTCCACGTCTATCGGATCAAGTGTTCACTAACAATGGTAACAGACTCAACTTCCTGCGGCCTTGAGTTTGAGGGACGTAAATTTTAGATTAAATTATTTTTTGAGAAAAACTATATTTTGCTCAAAAAATTTGAGAAAAACTATATTTTCTTCAAAAACGGATAGAATAGGTGTCAAAATTTTCATAACAGTTGTTGGAAATAAAGTAGGGAACACAAGCAAAAACATTATACAGGGTGTTCCATTTAAAATATGGAAGTTTTAAGAACCTTCCGGTATAACCCGAAGTAGCATAATGTCGCTGTTATTTCATCTGAAAAGAGCGTCTCTGAAAATGTCATTATCCAAATTTGCAGGACTCAAATAGCACTACGTCCCGAAATAATGGACGTCGACCGTGAGACACCCTGTATACATAAAGTCGACCCATTTGGACCTCGTTCCTCTCTGCATCTTGTTAATTATGAAGAAGGAAACCGATCTCAAAAACCAAAGTTTTACATAAAGTTTTTATTTATTGATGACCGATGATTGCGTCATGAATTTGGTACTTGTAAAAAGAACAATTAAGCAGTTATTTCCATATAGTCAACAAATGCGTAAAAAACACAATCAGCAGTTTTTTATCTCAATTTCAATTGAACACTTGACTGATAAAAAATATTGCTGTACAGTTTCAAAAAGATAAATCGTGCTTCGTATTGTAAATTTATATAAGTACATATTTGGTTTTTGGTCGTGCGGTGTTATCATCAAAATTCCAAAGTTGCAGTTCCATTTCCAAAAAAAAAATGCTGTAATGAACCGATATGTTCGTTCTAACATCGCTTTTTTAACTTTTGAGTTTGAGCTGTTTTCTGCCTTTGAAGACCATTGAAGAAACAGTAATAAAAACCGTTTAAGTGCAGAATAGATGCAACCATAGGAATTATGAAAATTCTTGATGTAAGTTTTGCTTTTAACATCAGTTTCTTATCATCAGACTTTAAATAGGTCTGTTTTTAGTCTTAAGTTATTATGAAGAAAATATTGTTGTTATCGGCCCTTATCAAACATCCATTACACTACGTACTTATAAAGCAACTGGAGGGAGCTGACCAAAATCAAAAAACTAAAAATAAAATCAACTAAGTAAATATACCTATTTAATCATCCTGCATGAATTAAAATATCCGGGAAGTGAAATTGCAGCTCACCAGCATCATCGGTGTTACGCAACATTGTTCTTTTTGGCAACAATCAGTCGCGCATCTTCATCAACCCCAACTTACAAATTTGTTAAAACATATTTATGCATTGAGAACACATCGCTATAAATATTTGGACCACAAATACATGCGGAAATGTTATTTAGGTTTTAAACATATTTGATGTTTACTCTAGAAGTAAAAGTCTGATAAATAAAAACGACTATTATTTATCAAACACGATAATTTCGTTTAATTATTAAAGGTTAGGCCATATAGCAGAACGATAAGCGTAATATAAATATCGGTTTAATAAGAACTTATTTAATATCGATTAGTTTCTGTCCAACTGTTATAGTTAAAGTAATCTTAAATGGTAAGCTTTGCTAAAAATTTACTACTTAGAATAAATAATCCGATTTGAATTAAAAAAAAAATCCGAAAGTTTGTATCGCCATTCTTCAAGGGATAGTTGCTGAAACTTAAAAGTTATTTACTTAAAGTTACTTAAAAACTGAAAAAAATAGAATAAATGAACTATTGAAGCTGAAGCACAATGCATTAAATGAACTTTCTAAATTACTAGCAAGTTATTTGCGATACTATAAACGGTCTTTGCCGGCACAATTAAGCATAGGTACATTAGACTTTGGACATTTGAAGGTTTCAATATATTTCAATTATAGACGTAAACGGTAATGCTAAATTAGCGTTTATGCGAAATGCGACTGAATTACTAACAAGTGCAAAGTTTCGTAAAAATTGCATAAAACAATTGCTACTATTGATTGCAAGCTGATCCGGTAAAGTTAAAAGTGTAGTGGTAAGGTGGGTATGGCCGGGGGGCAAATGTAATTCGTAATTAAAAAAATGTACTATATTTTATCAGGGGTAGAAAAACTTCGAGTACACCTTAAGCGAAAAGATAAAATACCAACGCAGTTTTTGTCCATTTCTTAATTTGAAATTTTAATTTAACATTCTAACTTGTCGGAAATTTAATCACATTTCTCATAAAAAATTGCTGAATTAAAGTCAGTTCAGTCTTAGCACTACTTACTCTTATTTGGGTGTTCTATTTAAAATAATTTTTATCGGAAAACCATTAACTTCACTCAACCCTTTAAAATGCAAAACAAACTTTTCTTCTCTGTATCTCATTGAGATAACAATGCAGATGCTACTTTATGGTATAAGCGGCAGCAATACATTACTGTAAATACTTAATTGCCAGATTACGAAAATCTGATTTTTAGAATTGTCCAAAGTCCCGTTTTCCGTATTTATCAACCCTGTATGATGTCTAAATATATGTCAGGTCTATAAAAAATAAATGCGGATATAACTGTATAAAACAGACAAATACTTGATAAAAATTCTGTAGAACTTCTCGGGTTTGTAATTTAAATAGATAATATGAGAGTTTGAAAAATGTACCTCTTGTATACTGGTCATGATGTGTATCAACCCAGAAACCAACCAAAAACATTTTTATCAAAATGTGTTTCAACATAACAGCAGTTCTCCGAACAACTCATCAGTCCACTTTGATGGATTACTTATCATTTTTATTATCAATTCTCGCACGTTCGAAAGCGCAGTAATTACCAAAAACATGAAATACTTTTATTAACTTCTATAATATGATAAAGAGGTTATAGGGGGCACTATAAACATAAATAATTATTTAAAAAATCCACGTTTATGAAATGAGGGCCCAGAAAAAAGCTATAACAAAATGTGCCGATCAGAAATTATTACACAAATATTTTTTGCTAGGTAAATAAAAATGCAATTTTTACAATCTAATAAAAAAGTACTTTCTTCAAAGAAGACATTAAGAGAATGGCCGGTAAACCTGAATCTTCCCACCATAATCCAGTACTTTTCTTAAATACTTCCATTAAGAGAAAAGAAACTGTCTGTTATGAAGATGGATGGAATTTGAGCAATATAAGTATCTTATCAAAGGCTTCTAAAATGTTGAAGAGTATAGCTGAACAGTAGCTCTTACTATCGAAAGGTTGATTTACCTTGTTTACAATTCTATGTATTCTGTAGTGCCGTGAAGTGATCTTATGGTATAATGTTATTATCATTCAGTATGGTTTTTAATATTTTCAAATACCGTTGATTATAGGCTTATAAGATTTATAGGGCTTTAATATAATCCCCGTTTTACAGATCATGATGATTTCTGCCAATTTCCAGCTGTTTGGCAAGTTGAATTAACAAAATATTAATCTGAATATACAGATACGCTTAGCAAGATATTTCTTTCATAGGAGCTCTGACAAAAAGTATTTATTTCTCTTAAATAGTACCGCTCCGAGCTCTTAAATAGCACTAAAACTAAGACAAATATTGCTGCCTCGAATAGTATTTATGCACAGAATAAATATACTGAAAATTACAATTGCGATAACATTGTATACGGAAATTATCGGGGGTAATTGCACAAGTGCTTCAAAATTACCGATAATTTTGCATGAAAGCTTGTTGTCTAAAAACTGCATGAGTTTATTTTCATA